AATTTAGTTTTTTCGACAACGGTGCACGTGATTTACACAATAAACATCGAATGACAATGACAAGCATTTGAAGTTTCATGTAAATGTCAATACAATATGAAACAGTGTTCCAAAGGAAGATTCATTTTGAGATTTTTTTTACAAACAACAAAAAAGTGTTTATTGAACTCAAGTTAAAAAATATACAAAATGATCCCATTGGATTACTTTTTAGTCCTTTTGGATTAATCGTAGCTGAAAATCCCAAAATACTAAATATTAATACCACCGATATAAGAGTATAGTGTTCATATTCATGCAAAATTTATTTATTATTTTTATTTTTGAGCGAAGACATCATTTTCACACTCGAAAAAAGACCAAAATTCTTTCAAACTACAAAATTTAATTTGATGAAGAAAAAAATTTCTTTCTGATTTTCCGTTAATATTGAAATTCCATATTATTGCAATTCCACTCTCTATTTGAGACATAGCTGTTATGCATGCAAAAGGCATGTTCTGGAGAATTTGACATAAAATTTTGATGTGACAAATATAATATCAATCATAGCATTAATTGACTTGATATTATTGACTACAAAATTTGACTTTTGTGCTTTAGTTAAAAATCAAAAATTAAAATTTTATCTCGTACCACTTACTTACTTATAGTTGTTACTATTTTTTCTCAACTCTTATTATAACATTGTAATTTTTGCAATGCCAAAAATAAACACAATTCTATACTAATTTACAGGTGCTGTTCATTTAGCCGGCCCGATAGCAAAAATATCGAAGGGACTATGTCGGCTATCGTTATCACATTGTGGCCTAACAGCAAAGGGCGTCAATCAAATGGCTCATTCGTTGACATTGAATCAAAGCATTTCCAGTTCATTAACGTATTTGGATTTAAGTGGAAACAATTTGAAGGACGACATAAATGTAATCAAAATCAATCGTCTATTATAAAAGCATATTAAATAATTTTTCGTGTACTATGTACCAATTTATCGATAGAAAATTATAGAAGCAAACACTAGAAATGATTCAATTAGAATATCAATCATACATCTAAGCATCAGAATATCTTTTAGTGCTCAGAAAAAGTGATTTTTTTTGCAAGCTCAAAAGGCTGATCATTAAAAATACGGAGAAAAATCAGAAAAATTAACAAGAAAAAAAAACATTTTAAGATCTCGGTAAAATTTGAAAAAAATTAACGTGGTACATTTATTTCTTTTTTTTTTCAATTCCAGAATCTATATAATTTTCTTGCTCAACCAAATGTCTTAGAGTATTTGGATCTATCGTCAACCGACACGTTTTTGGAAAATGTAATTGTGTTATATATTTTATTTTTGTTAAATTTAATAATATTTCCCAAACTTCTGCAGTTATTTGGAGCGCTTTTACGTGGATGCTCAACACATTTGACACATTTGAATGTTTCGCACAATTTCTTCAATACAAAAAAAGGCAAAGAGATACCACCGTCGTTCAAGCAATTTTTTACCAGTTCGCTAAGTCTGAAACATTTGAATATTGGTAAGCCCAAATTTTTAAACCACTATAATAGTAATTATAATAAACACAGTATTCCTCAGCACTGCTGCCATCCACAGCATATTAAAATATCTTGCTGAGAATGCGTCGTCCATCGCATGCGAAGGTACGTAGCAGTTTTTACATCACCTCGAACAACAATGCATGCATTGTTCTATATACAATCATTTGAATGTTTTGAGTCACATAATCGTGAAGAGAACAATGCATTCATTCTTATTCGCTGTGATATATAAACTGCAACGTAAGATATTTTAATATGCTATGGATGTCAGCAGCGCTGAGCAATACTCTGACAATGAATATAATAATTATTACTATAGTTAATAACCGCTACCGGACGATATAGATTATATTATAATTTATATATTTAATATTTTTATTTTGAAGCATCGTGCAAACTACCATTGGAGGCATTAAAGCATCTGCTTCTTGGCTTAGCTTGTAATGAATCAACAGCTGGTTTACATTTAGATCTAAGCAGTAATTCACTGGGAGCACAAGGTGCACATGTATTGGAGTCATGTATACATGGTGTTCGTGTTCTGCAGAGCCTCGACATTGGCGATAATAGTACGTATATAATTTAGTAAAATTGCCGCAATGTCATGATTTTATTTGATTTTATTGAAATTTCGTCGGTAGATCTTGATTCAGAATTGGCATCTGTGTTGACAGCTATTGGTAAAAATCCATCGATAAAATCGTTAAATATGACACGCAGTTTCAACGGAATGAAATTGAAGCATATTGCAACTGTTATGGATGCTCTGGTTGGTTTGATTCAAAAAGACGATTTCCCTCTCACCGAATTAATGCTAGCAGAAAACAAGCTTAAAAACGACATACATGATTTTATAAATGCTCTCGGAAGCAATCAAAGTCTGCAAAAATTAGGTAAAAAATATATAAAATATATTGTATTATAAAATATATAATACAAATATTCTTCTTTGTTAAAAAAAATTGTTCCAGTGAATATTAGGAACGACGAAAACAACAAAAAAACTAATATCTTACAATTGAATTTATATATTTTCTGATCTTTTGACAGATATTAGTGGAAATTTCATGGGAGACATCGGAGCAAGACTGTTAGCCAAAGCATTACAAATAAATAACAAATTGCGTTCGATTTCACTTGATAGAAACAACATTACACTACAGGGTAAAACTCTACTCTCTCTCTCTCTCTCTCTCTCTCTCTCTCTATTACACACACAACTCTAATTCTTTCTAAAAATATATATAATTAGGTTACAATGACATCGTATATGCACTAGAAAATAATTTTAGTATGCGTAATATTCTGTTTCCGGTATTTGATATTGCGCCATGCCTGAAGCAACATCCAGAGCGTACAGATTTTGTGATGCGAAAAATGCAAGAATATTTACAACGTAATAGTAATGGTTTCAAACATGCCAACGGTCAAGGATTTCGTCTACAACACGGTTTTTTACTATCATCAACGCATCAATTGGTCGACAAATTAGTGTCCGAAACACAAGAGACAATTTCATTTCGACAATCTGGACAATCTGGACAAAATCTTGATTCGGCCGTTCAACGATTAATTGATGATGCAGAGAATAGTAAACAATTACTGCCAAAATTACAAGAGGCAGTACGTTGTGAACAACATCCCATTGAAGTGAAGTTGAATCGAATGGCAAATGATTTAAATCAAAACATACGTAGTTATTTGGTCGAAACAATGGAAACTATGCTACGAACAGGAGTTGAACAATGTCCAAAAACATTAGGCAATCAATCGGTTATAAATGATTTGCGAAAAAATTGCCAAGAGCGTCTTAACATCACCGACGAATTCCTTCATACATGCATCATGAGCAATGCTGGTGGCGAAATAATGAATAAGATAAGGTTAGAAAAGTTACAGTTCTCTTAAATATAAAAACAAAATCTTATAACGTCTGCAAAATCAGAAATGTATGAAAAATTAATAAAAATGGGAAAGTGTTGACTGCCAAGTCATAAAGAGGACGAGTGCTGAAATTCCAATAGATTTGAAGTTTGAGCCAATTTTTGTGGTTATTCTTTTTTCATACATTTCTGATGTTGGCTCACACTTCACATAGTTCTTTAGGAAGGTCATAGAAACATGACTATAACAACGAATTCGAAAAAAAAAATTAATTTTGGTGATGCACGCTTCCAGGTAGTTTTTCATGGGAATAGTTTTTCCACGAGAAATAAGAATCTGGCGTTTATTATGTAATACAAATAATTTTCGAGACTTTTTTCATGAAAAATCACAAAAAATTTGGAATTTTGTATTGAAGCCATGCCTGTTTGATGTTGTAATAACATAAATTGTAATGACATGAATTGTTGTAATGACATAAGGATTTTTTGACAGAATCGAAAATGTTGTATGGGAGATACACTTAATTTGTATTGAAATTTATTCAAACTTTCGGAATATTTTTTTTTTGCAGAAAAAACACTCTGTGCAAGGTTTCATGTCATTACAACATCAAACAGGCGTGGTTCCCATACAAAAATCAATTACAACATTTTTTATTGAATTTTTAAAGTGCTCAAAATTCATCTAAATTTGATTTTTTTTTAAACCACCTAGAAGCGCGCATTACCAAAAATCATTTTTTTTTTCAAATTCGTTGTTATAGTCATGTTTCTTTGACTTTCCCATAAAGGTTATAGGGGTACGATTTTTGATTCTTGAAAAAATGTCAAAATCAAATCACTCTACTATATATATCATATATTTAAATAATTAGTTAAGAATTAGCTTTTGTACTTTTCTCCTTCTCTGTCTAATATTTAAATCGTTGACGAGCTATCGTAATAATAATACTTTTGTTAGTTAGTTTTGGAACGATTTTTTGGGTAACTTCATTTGCTTTTTTTCTCTTTCGATCTGATGCTTTTTAGTGAAGTGGAACAAAGTTTAGCAACATCCATAGCTGATCGTGCAACAGATGAAGTGGTTGAAGCATTGACACGATGCCGTCGCGGCTTGGATATATCCGATTCTCAAATGGTAACATTTGATAATGCTGAAACACCAGACATTGTACGCAGTAGATCTAGTCAAGATTCAATGGGTTTTGTACAAATTCGAGATTTGGATTTGCCACATCGAAATCTTGGCTCACCAACGGTAAGTTCAATTTTACTTTTCCGCACACAGTGATATTTAATGTATTCCTAAACACTCAAAAATATGTATTGGGGGTTTTTGGGTACGAGAAAACCGAATATGACGTTAGTTTTGCGATACAATAATATTTCGACACACTTTTCATACAAAAATTTGAAAAACATTGGATTTTTTTATGGAAGCCATGCCTGTATGATATCGTAATGAGCTGAAACTTTGCACAGGTTATTTTTTTCACTCTAAAATAACATTCCGAGGGTTTAGATTTAGATTAGATTTATTTCACCGCCAAGTGCTGGCTGAACTTAGGTATTTTTACAGAGTATATATATAATATATGTATAATAAGAGTTTAAGTTAAATAATCAAATAGTTAGGTGAATATAATAGTTGAAAATTATATAAATACATAATTTTTTAGGTGAAAATAAATAATTTGTTAGGTGTAAATATCAATTGATAATCAGTCAGACTAGAAATGAGAAAATAATTGAATTATTATCATGACTAAAAAAAATTTTTTAAAGTATTTTTCTTTCTTTTTTGGTTTTGTTTTCCATTGCCTTTCTCCCTAATTTAATTCTAATTTTATTTCAATATATCACAAATGTATGCATATTTTGAAGATATTTCAATGCATATTAGGGGTACCTCCCGAACAAAATTTTGGATTTTTTGCTCAAAAACGAAAATTTTGAATGGCAGGTACCACTCAATTGTATTGAAATTTCTTCAAACTTTCAGAATGTTGGCTTTTTGTGAAAAAAATAACATCTGCAAATTTTCACATGATTACGATATCATACAGGCATTGAAAAGTCCAACAAAAATTATTTGTATAGCAAAACTTATATCAGATTCAGTTTTCTCATGAATTCATATTTACGGCAAAAGATACGTAATAAATGCATGTTGTGGATCACAGTGCGGAAAAGTTCATCTTACGGATGTAAACCATTTTATTTCGAATAGTTTTTTTTCGTTTAAATTATATTCATCATACGTATTAGTTGTAGTTGCTCGCCAAATATCATTTGATCTCCTTGTTTATTTATTTGATAATCTATTCAGTCTTTTTTTTTCATTCGTCAATTTTTTATTCCCGATTTCTTACCATTTTTGTTTGACCTATCTGAATGTGTTTTTTATGATTTTTTTATATACTGCTTCCTGCATTTTCAAAACTCTCAAATCACCAGAACACATTTTATAAAAATTGATTTTTAGTAGTTTTAGTAGTAGTAAACACACATCTTATTGAGTAATTTTCTCTTTTGAGTGAATTTCAAACAAATCTAACACACACACACACAAAATTATCAACAGTTACAAATCAAAGTCAAATTTTCTATTTTTCTATTTCATTCATTTTAAACAAATATCAAACTATGACATTCATCACCACAAACCAAACAAAAATACACACAAATACACAATTGTTTCGTGCAGAAATTGGAATACCTGAATCTCGTAAGTATCTAGATCCATCATATAAAACTTGCTTCCCATCATTCTTACTCTTCCGTTCACTTGCCCATACGTCCAATTTAACTTGTAAATGCAGAGAAAAACAAAAGTTTTCCCAAAAAAATAGAAAAATCTTTTTGCATCCGAATTTTCCGTTCCGAAAGCTGAAATGCTTGTTGTTTGAAGTGAAAAAAAAATTACATTTATTTTGTTATTTGTATCTTCCAAAAAATATAGGCAACACCGCATTTCCAGCCAAAACGACGTTCGTTTGCTCATAAAGTACGTCCACAATCAGTTGTTGAAAATTTGAGTGCCGGTCATATTCCTGATTTATTAGAAACGCCAAATTCTCGAAATAATTCTACCGGTTTACAAAATAAAGACAATGGTGAAAATTGTGATTCAATAACTGAATTGCCAAGTGCATCGTTGCAGTTACAGCATTTGGTCAAGGGACGACCGAAACGGGCGAAAACACGCGCACCCAGTCGACCATTAGTCACCGAAATGTCATCTCATGCAATTGGTGAAGGTATTGAAGCATTCTTTCGACCCGGTTCTGTTACACCTACCACACTTACACCCCTTGTGTCACCCACATCGGATGAATGCAGTTCATTGAGTTTTGTTGATAGTCCGACTATGTATTCTGAAGAAACAACACCCATTTTAGAGGAACGTAAACCAATCAAATTGGAACGGAATTCACCACTGTTAAAAGGTGTATCATCATGGACACCACGTCGGGGAGAGAACCCAAGGCATACTTACTTAAAAATTACTAACTTAAAAATTACTATTCCATTACTTGCATTATATGCAATTGAAATAATCACAATATCAACTAGCTATTTATAGAATGTAGTAAGAAAGTAGTAAAGGTTTGATCGCACACAGCTTAAATTAAGAACAATATGAAAATGAACTAAAATCGCGATAGCAAACAGATTGCAATACAAAAATTGAGATTTGGTAGTGTTAGTAGCAGTGGAACAGAGAACATCACAACGAATCAACACGTTTGACATACAATAGCATTCCATCGGGACAACATCACAATGACAGCATCTAGACGAACTGACAGCATCTGAGCGAAAACAGCAGCACACACACAGACAGAGTGAGTACAATTGAATATTGTATGTTGTGTTTTGTGTATGCGTGTGTAAAATTCACAACGCATCAAGACAAGTGATATTTTCCAATTCCATCACTTTGCAAACGTATGTTGTATTGACCAATGTATTTTGTTTGGCATTTCATCAGGTCCAGTATCTCGTTGCAAACGATATTAGAGATTCGGAATGGGTACGCGAAGAAGAGGTCAAAGCTGAAAATGCTCTGGGATCCGTTGCCAAAGCGAATCATCAATGTCATTACCATCGATGGTGTGGTGCGTACTAGGGGCAGAGCAGTACTAGAATAATAATTTTTATTTAAAGTAATTCTATGTTGTGAGTAGTAATCCATATATATCCAATGACGTTCATGTGTACGTTGTGTATTACATTTGTTAGGAATAAAGTAATCGTCGTATATTGCGGCTCGAAACGATTTATTCGATATTTTCCATTTTTTAACAATAAAGTGTCTCATATACGGCGATCGCCGTCGAAATATACGGCGATCGCTTTATGCCTAGCAAATGTCATACAGAACGTACATTGCACTGCTGTTAAAATTTACACAAGTGTGTATTACTATGGATTAATATGGATACTACTCACAACATAGAATTACTTTAAACAAAAATTATTATTCTAGTACTGCTCTGCCCCTAGGATGCATTATACATTTTCTTAAAACTGAATTTCAATTGAATCAGTTTCTAATTTATTGTTTTCTCTCTCTCTTTCTCTCTGTATAGATTGAATATTTGGTGCAATTCGCCGATGGTACACAGACAATATGGTCTCTTTTTCACATGTGGGCCAATGCGTCAACTGATTGAACAATTTGAAAAGGATCGCATCTATTTTTCTGTAGTACAATTGAACCGATTGAGTGAATCGGGCATTCAGAACATTAGGTCAGCATCAAAATCAGTAAAAACTCGGCCGAAACGAAAAGCAGCTATAGCAACAACAACAACAGCGAATGGTGAAAACGATGCCAACTATCAACCATTAGTTCGGTTAAGTCGATTGAGTGAATCCGATATTCGAAATGCAAATGCAAATTCTCGCGTCATACGTCCACCACCAAGTGCGCCCTTTTACGAATTGCTGAACAAAATGAACCGTCAACATCTCGTGGCCTTACTTCCGCACCAAAACGAACAACTCGATCGAACAGCGTCCACCGCTAGCCAATATAACACAAAGGTCAGTATCAATTGATCGGCAACCAAAACCGAAACAAAAAGCAAAAACAGTAGCACCGGACGAACCAAAATTAAGATCAGCACCATTTACCATCAAACGGTGTCTACGCAAAACGGTGAAAGGCCAAAATGACAACGTCAAAGAAAGTTTTTTAAATCAAATAGTAGTAGATGTAATCAAATTAAGCATTTTCCAAGCAATCGAGTGACAGCACAAGACGGGTCGTCATGCAACAAGTTACGAAACTTGAGCATCGAGTGAATAACTCCCCGATTAATCCAATAATCTAATAATCCAATCAAATTAACCATGATCGCTGCATTGGTCTCCAGCTTTATTCATTATTTGTTCAACAAAGTAATGGACAATTGGACAGTGAAATTGGAAACTGATCTCGGTTTCAAAAATTCGAGTGAAAGGATGAAAATGATTAGAGAATTGTTCCAAAGCGTTCTATTCCAAAATATCGATGAAGCTTGGTCCAAAATGTCACAATATGCGCCAGAATATCGTGAAATGATGAGAGGCCATCATGTTGAGCCAGGAGATAACACGAGATTGAAGGAACCATTTGTTTATCTGTATGAGGCCTACCATACAAATTTCAAAAATAACATCGTCGTGGAAGGATAACTAATTTCAATATTGATTTGGATTTTGTGGACAGACACGGAAGATTCGAACGAAGGGCATTCAATCAACTCGTCTATGTGGATGGCGTCTCCATCAGCATCAATGGGATAAAGAAAGTCAAAGCCGAAACGGAAACGGACGAGGAGATAGTAGCCAGATATGCCAAAATAGTGGCCAAATTGGATAGTGGCGAAATAGAATTTGCCCATGGATACGATCCGGGTAAGAAACTCACCTTTGGTGGCATCGAGCGAAATCTTACGCAACAAAATCGAGATGATACCAAGTCATACGATGAGAAAAATGTACGTATTAAAGCCGAAACGTATTATCGCTTGATCAATGATTTTCCACGAAAACAAAAACGAAAGAAGTTGGATAGTGATTTGCAACAAGAAATGACAAATTATAGGCAACATGAAAAGCGAACGGAGTTGAAATATCGGAGAAAAGCCAAAATTATCAAGCATTCACCGAATATCGTCTTCGTTTTTTCAACAAACAAAAATGACCAAATTGAAAATCGACAACAGGAGTTGGAACGTGCCAGAATTGCTATACAAAATGCTCGCCAAGAATAAATTGACAATGGTCCAACTTTCACACCAAAGGAAGTCAATGAAATAGCAAATGGCCATGCAGTCGTACAACAAAACTATTATAAAAATAGTTTACGAATGATGGTGGAACAAAAACAGCAGTTGGAAATTGTTGAAACAGCAATTCGAGAAGCTGAACAATCAAACCAACAAAATATTCCAAACGTGTCACCAGATCTATACAAAATGCTGTAAATATCATCAATGAAGGTGTTGTTCTTCAACCAAGATTAGTTTCCAAGAATGTTCGCATAGTTAAAAACAATCGGGCCAACCTTCGTGGAAACGTGGTAGTGGAGTGGAATCTTGATGTGAACGCAGGCAGAAATATACTAGATATAGGTCTTGCCATAGTGAGAGGTCAACAATTGAATCCGATTTTCACCGTTCGCAGACCAGCGGATCTCAACTGAGGTAAATTTCAAGTTGTAATGCAATAAGTACAAGACATATGTACAAGTGTACATACATACATTCAATTTGCTACTAATATTGTGATTTCTTTTTCGTTTCTTTTTCATTTCACAGATTCAATTTACCAAATAACCACTAACAAATCTTAATTTTAAGCAATCTGTTTGCGTAAGCGCATTTAGTCATTAAGTTGCGAAATTTACATAATGTGTGCGCCATACTGAAAGTAAAAAGTACACATAGTGTAGGTGTTACACTGTGATTAGATTATTTCAATTTCATTTTCCATTACATTCCATTACATGTTGATTAATTTCCATTAATTCCATTTTTTTCTTCTGATTATCTCTAGAGAGAACCACTTGGAAGGTAAGTAATTTTCCAGATGGTTTCACAATTTATTCCAATAATTATTTTTCTTTATTTCTACTAATATTTGTGATTAATTTTCATTTTATTTACTTTTGTGATTCACTCTCAGCACCACGATCACGATCAACAGACAATTTGGAGAAATACTCGCCACTCGTTGGTCGAAAATCACCATTAATTAAAAAGCAAATGACTGACACCACTACGAACACCTACAATGATAATAATGCATCAGTTCGTAACAATGTAATTGAATCGAATCAATGTCAACGATTACATCCACCACATCAATCTGAACGTTCGCCAAGCAATGAGTCGATTAAAAGCTTTGATATGGATAACAATGTGGTGAAAATTGGAAATGGCATCGTTAAAACACCACTTTTTCCACCGAAACCAAGGCCATGGTATTATTTTACTTATTCCGATTTAATAATTCATAAGACATCGTTATTACATCGCGACAAGTTTATACTATCAATTGATATAATATATTGATATCGAAAAGTTAGGGAAAAACTTTTGTTTGAGCACATTTTTTGCTGTTTCTATAAAGTTCATCGCTTAATAGTATGATTTTTTTAACCATCTGTGCTTCTGTATAGATGGCAAATTTCTATTTTGCTATCGGTGTTTGCTAGGAGCAGCGTTTCCCTTTATTTAATTATATTTTTTAATGTGTATGCTTCGTGAGATTGTAGATATCGTTATAAAAAATGAAACTTATATAAAACGTAGGTCTGTGGCTGGAAATGAGGGAAAATGTGATTTTACCGTTGAATCATCGAAAACGAGCCCGGAAGGACTTGATTCTGGTGATGTAGTACTGATCGAAGGTACTGTGGTTATTAATTTTGCCCTTCCATTACTTATTGATTAATTACCATATTTTCCATTATTTTCTTCTGATCATCCCTAGGTAGTCAATCTGGTGGTTCAATTGTTGGAATAACACCGGCAGCTTTGAGTAGCAGTATTGTTGGTATTTCACCAGGTATAATTTATAAAATAAATATTTGGCATTTTTCATTTGATTAATTAAAAGTTAAATTAACTATTGTAGGTGCTGCTTTAGAAAAGAAGTCCGTACGAGATATGGCAGCTGGACTGAATCGATTGGGTGGTAAGTTTAAAGAAAACAATTAATGCACAATATTATCAAAAAACGAAGATTAGAACCAAAACGACATTTGCATCAAATGAATTTGAATCCATACACAACAGACAAAGAGAATACTAACAGTTATCAAAAATTATACTGTAAATACATAATTTGCATGCAGTTGATTTTATGTTTCTTTATTTTTTATTATTATTTCTATTTTTCGTTTTAGTAGATGTAATTAAGCCAAAGCCGTTACCACGAAATGTAATCAATGGCAATTTTACACATGCAAATTGTAGCAATAATAGTACTTTCTTAAATAGTACAGTTAATGAGACAGTTGACACTACATCTTCAACGGAAACCACTACATTAACCACACATACTACATCAGCAATTAAAAATTCAAACTATACGAATTCTATACCAGCTATCACATCTGCCATTAGCAAAACGGAATCGTTAATTCAACGATTTTCTTTCAACAGCAGCAGTAATAATAGCAAATCACCGCCGGAGGTTTTGAAACGCATTAGCAGTAAACAAATATCCAAAATATTTGAGGTGTGAATCCAAAAATACAAAACCAAACAAAAATGTTCCAAGTATAATTCGTTCAAACGTGCTGTTTTTTTGTGATTTATTTGGAACATTTACTTCCAAAGCTTCCGCCACTATTTATGAATTTTATCGTTAATGCCCGCTTTAGTTTTAAATGCATTTTGATACCGCTAATTTCTTTATAATCTTGTTTGCTTTTGGACAAGTGAGGAAAAATTGTCTGTAAATTTCGTTCACACAAAATAATATTAACTTCTTTTAATTGATTTAAAAAAAAAATTCAAAAAAAAAAATACTCCCAAGAGAATTTTAACTTTTTTCATTTTTCTCCTTTCTTCCAAATAGAATAACATAAATGGCACTAAGCGTGATGGGAAACCAGTGCCATTAGCTGAAGTTAACGTAAACGATTAAAATTGAAACAGCCCCAAGTGCAAACAACGATTTTGCCATAGAAATAACATAAAAGCAAGCCAACCAACTTATAGTTCTAATTGAATGATAAAAATAATAGATTGCTAATAGGATCCCGAAACGAGGCGAATGTATCATTTTATTTGTCGTTTTAAATTTTTTGTATAGTATTCATGAGTAGTGAAATTATTTTTCAAAACATTAGACAACATTTAAATTTATAAAGAGGGAGGAAATGAGAAAGTTTTTCTATATTCGGCCAAATTGTTCAAATAAATTTTTTTACCCCTTTTAAAATTATGACATTTTTCAATGATTTGTGTATGAATTAAAAAAAAAACTGTACAAATTTTAATTTGCGTTTAAGTTCTATTATTTGAACGAAAAAAAATACTTGCAAATTTGATTTATTTAGAATGTGAACAGGTTCAGTTTAATTCGATGGAAATCCAGGATTTATGCCATGTGTTTCCAGATGATTTTTTTACAATACAACCAAAACGCAACAACCTATACTACAAAACTTATAGAAAAATAGTATTTGCTTATTAAATTTTGCCAATTGTTCAAAGACAAGCTACTTATTTTAAATTTGATTTTTTACTGTCTCATTTTTGCTTAATTATTTAGAATTCATCTGGTTAAGGAATACAATGATAATATAAATTCATAAAGGATAGGTAAGTGATGATATTTGACCAATACTGTGCGAAGCAAAAATCCTGCCATTTGAAAAAAAACCCGCCCTGGCTTTTGAAAAATTATTTCGATTTTTTTGCCTGAATTCGAGAATTTTACACTACATTGATTAAGATTTTTAAACAACGTCAACAGACCTCAATATTTTCACGATTTCGGACCCCTCGGGCCCCTGCTGAAGATGTCTGATTTAAATTGTTTCTTTAAATTTGTTTTTTAAAAAACGACAAAACTTCTTTATCCGCAAAGTCCATCAAATATCAAAGATTTTGAAATAAAACACAGTTTGTTTTAAGTATAATGCACCTTTATGACTTTGCCAATTTAATTTCAAGGATACTTAATTTTAATTTTGTACTCGCTGAGGATGACACATTGTCGAAATGCATCCGAACCATTGTTTCAATTATTGTTATTTATTTGAATAGAATTCTTGAAATTAAATTGGCAAAGTCATAAAGGTGCAATATACTTAAAACAAACTGTGTTTTATTTCAAAATCTTTGATAAATTGTTTCTATTGCATTCGCTGCATTTATTCATCATTCTAAAAACTGACAAAATATTAAAAAAAAAGTCTTTTTAAAAATATTTAAAAAGTTTATTAAATGAATAATTTGTGTTTTTTGTTGGAGTAAATCGATTTTATTTTAAAGGGAGATAAATCAAAATAAAAACATCTTAAATACTAGTCGATGTATACACTAAAAAATTGTTGGGGCAATTATCAGGTATATATTGTTGGTCGAATGCGGGGTTGCAGTTTTGTGTTGTTTCAGTCGAATTTAACGTCACAATGGAATGAAAAAAAGAGACAAAAAGAGTTATGCATAAAATTTCCTATGAATTGAAATCAATCTAAAATTAAAATAAAGCTTTAGAATCGACGGTAAGAGATTTACCCAATTATTCTATCATTAACTGTGCGCTACACTCGAATTAGATTTATTAAATAAATTTTATATATAACAATGAATCAATAAAAATTGTAATCATTGACTCGGTAAAATTATTCTTACTGTGGGGTACTTTATACATAATATCTCAGATATTATGTACAAATCAAAGCCACAAAATACAAGCTTTGGTAATAACTATTTTAGTTAACATGTTTTCTTTTCTTCAATTGATTGATGCTGGTTGATCATTATTGATTGTTTACCTGTACCGGAACAAATTGTCTGCGTACCGGTGGTTTTTTACGATACACTGGTCTTTGTGTTTGTGGTGGTCTCACAAACGAATTTAATGTTAAATGGAAAATGAAACACAGGGCTGTAATCAATGAATCAGAAAATTGTACCTTTGTACATTATGCACTAGGGCGGAACATTTTTTTTGAATTTCGAGGCATATCTTGATGGCCATTTGAGAAAACATGTCTTAAAGTCCCCAAATTCAAGATATGAAGGAATTTTCAACTTGCGGTTCCATATAAGACAGCGACTTGAAAGGGAAGAAGGTACATTTTACTGGAAAATCATGAAAAATTGTAGTGACCCAATCACCATGAAAACTTGTGAATCTTATTTTCTGACCAAAATAAGTAATATCACCAAGTTTCATGAAATTTCAACTAAAAATGAAGGTGCCTCCCATACAAAATTTTCGAATTTTTGTTATTGAGAAAAAAAATAAATGTTTGGAATTAAATAAATGAATTTTTAAATGGGAGGCACCTTTATTTTTGGTTGAAATTTCATGAAACTTGGTGATATCACTTATTTTGGTCAGAAAATAAGATTCACAAGTTTTCATGGTGAATGGGTCACTGCAATTTTTCATGATTTTCCAGTAAAATGTACCTCCTTTCCTTTCAAGTCGCTGTCTTATATGGAACCGCAAGTTGAAAATTCCTCCATATCTTGAATCTGGGGACTATAAGACATGTTTTCCCAAGTGGCCACCAAATTGTGCCAAAAATGTTCCACCCTATTAGGCACCTTGCCGCAACAATGTCTCGATGCCAAACAATGGTAAATCGCAGTACTATTAACAAATCTTGAATTGGCTCTCGGTATCCAAGTTCTTGTTCCGGTTGTTGTTGATGATGATCATTGGTGTTCGCAGCATCGTCTCGTATTTGAAGTGCATTCACAGAGTTAAGCGGCCAGTTTTTCCAATAATACATTTTTAATGACGCTAATCGCTCTGGTTTGAATTCTTTTGGCAGATTTGCTTGATTTACTAGACCTCTGTCGATCAACTTTTTCACACAAAGGTCCAACGTTTTGCGTTATGAGCCCTTTTTGGACACAATTAGCGGCGGCAACGACATGTATTTGGCAATCTCCGGTGGTATTGGAGCATTGCGTGGACAATTTTTGCATGCTTTGAATAGGAATTTTTTCGTTTCTTTCGGGAACTCCACCATGCAACTGGCACAGTGTTGAGACGTGTAGTCTTCATTCACTCTGACTACATCTGAATGATGTAGTTTATTTTACGCTGTTTTCAAGACGTCGTGTTCCCGGTCATCGTTTGGTCTTCTTCTTACCGATTGGAGAATTGGCTGGCAAGTCCGCGTCTCCGATGATGAACAGCGATGGCTTATTTTTTGTCAATGATTTTGCTAACCAATCGGTTTCATGTTGTGAGCCGATGTACTTGTCCAACGATAGCCGTGCATATCGTCGCCGAGCATATGCCGCCAATCCATCCTGCATCATTTTCAATCGATGATCGAGATAGTATATCCAGCCATTTCCGCGCGGTGATGGTATTGATAGATAGTTTTCCTTGCGATCGGACTGTTCCATCTTCGTGAATGTTGCTGTCATGCGCTTTGGTCTTTTGTCCCGAATACCTTGTCGGGCACCCCAATGATATTGCTTCTGTGATATTTTGATGTTTTCCTTTGATAAAACCAAAATAAAAACAATCAATACATTGAATCTAGAAAATTATGAAATTTAAATTTAAAAAAACATTATTTAATCAACTTACTTCGACACAAGTTTCAATGTTCCGACGAAATCCAGCATAGTATGTGTTCACGCCAGGATCAAGTGGGATGATATACGTGTAATCACCGGCTTCAAGTTTTTGTTTGATTCGTTCGCGATTGATTTCGGTCTACTCACGTTTTGGTATTTCGAATAGTACCGAAGCCGAAACGGTTAAATTGCTGGTTTGGTCTTTTGAGTTCATTGATTTTCTTCATGTCGAATAAAATATTCCAATCGTCGTATTAGTTTTCTTCAAAATAATTTTTGGTATATATAGAACTTCCTCCATCTTTGCCACCGAATTCTTCTGGAATAAGTTTCCATCAAGCCAATAGTGCTAACAAATCCATATGATCGAATTTGATGTGTTTGAGTTTATTATCACATAGCGGTACAACGGTGATATTGCGAATCTTTGGTGGCAGTGGTTGCGTCGGTTTTTCGAACAACGATGGTTTTTTCTTGTGTCGCAACCATGTCTGCACCAGCTGTTGATGTTCTTTCTTGAATTCACTAATTTCACGTTGTATCGAGTAAACAACGTTCTTTCACCGCAACAAACAGCTCAGTAATTTTGGATTTTCGAACTGGATCGACTTCACTCCAGTCTTTATTGCGCATAATGCTTTCGATTGCGTTTCGAATGTCGATTTGATCAAATTTGAATAATCTGTATGGTTCCTGATTGAATTGGTAGCACTTCATTTGCAAGAAGTACGCCAATCCCATCTCACAATGTGTGGTCAACTGTGTTGTTACATTGCTGAGGTATTGTTGATGGACTTACCGACTATGAAGTTATGTTTACATATACGCATACACAAAATTAAAAGAAAATTTTATATGGTTTTTACATCAATTGATGTTGATTCATATGCAAATATTCTACGAGTAATATTATTCAATAAAAATAAATTTAATTGGGGTGTGGCGCACAGTTAAATATCACCTGAATTTCATCCTAATTCGACGGACGATGAAATCGGGTGAAACTTTGGTCAATTTCACCTCCAATTTGATTAAAAGCGTTACATTTTTCAACGTAAAAATTGATAAAAAAAAACGTTACTAACTTGTTTGTGGGTGTATTGACGTCATCAAAATGTAGGCCAGTAAAGAAAACTATCCAGGTGACTGAAAAGCATGCAAACGATGTCATGAAACCTTCTTTCAGCAGTTCCCAAATACCACCGTATTCATCCTCATCAATTTTTTGAAAATTTAAACAATACAAATACACAATGCCACAATTAATAGCTGCAAAACTACAAAATAAATCGTGAAACGAAATTTTTAGTTTTTCAAGTCGATTAGCGTTCAATTGAATCGTTGCGGAGAAAAAGTAGCTCTTCTTTTTCTCCAAATAATACTGCAACATGAAGTTTTTTTCACATGGTTTATTTGTTGTAATACAACAAATAAACTATTCATAAAAAACTTTATGTTGCAGTATTACTTGGAGAAAAAAAAGAGCTACTTTTTCTCCGCAACGATTCACTTAATTTTTTATCTACAGAATATTTCAAAATTTTGTACTTACAGTGCGATTGCGGTGAAACCTTGCAATGGAATGATGCCCCAGATAATACCAATAATAATACCTAATACTTGTCGAGACCAATAAATTACGTCGAGAAATTCATCCTGTAATTACAAACCAAGCACGGCGTTGCAAGTTTAGCACATACCATTATTAATTTTGGCCGAAAGTCATTCAAATAAACCAAATGAAACATTACCTTATCATGCCATTCAGAACTGCTTGCAGTTGCACGAGACCATGGTGAGGCTAATTTTGAACCTTTGCTACTATTTCCATTTCGTTCCACAGTACTGGTTCGTGTATTCGACATTATTGTATTTTTAACGAAATATTTTGTCTACAATTCGGCCGGAGTTCGTCTAGTTACTTTAATGTAAATAAATAAAACAATATTATGTATTTCTTCGCGAATTTATTGAAGTTTAGCATTTGTCGAATTTAAACTAATTAAATGATTTTTTGTAGTGTGTGATTATGATATTGAAATTTACGCATACATCAGAGTCAAAAAAAATAATGACACCAATGATCAAACGTCAGATGCATGAGAAAAGACGCTTCTTTATTATTAACTTTAGATACTTGTCACTTTAGAAAACATTTAATTGAAAAAATCTAGCGCATTTATTCGAAAAAACATTATATATTTTTTTTTTCGCTTTTATTTATTGTGTTTTTATGCATTTATGCATTCACAGTGTGTAATCGGGCAATACTATTATTTATACTACACGTCAATTGACATACGGCATATGGTTCACATACAAAAACAAAACACTTTTATTATAGATGTATATATAAATAAAAATATACCTAATATAAAATTTAAATATAATTAATATTTTATATATAATATAAAATGTATGTTGCTCATGGCTCAAACATTTTTGGGTCTTTTATATTTTTCAGGTTAAATGTATTTAATTCAAACCACGGCCACAATCATTGAACTATTTGATAAAATCATTTGAATTGAACGACCCATTTCACAACGCTAGATTAATTCACAGAGAACAAAAATATTAACTAAAATATCGGAAACAATGCAAATGATGAATTGTCACTATATCGTCTAAAATGAACGCTTTTTTGTATTGGTCTGGTAAACGCTTAACAGCCATTCATTTAAAAAAATTGTCATGTTGTATTACGCAGCCAAAAGAATTACTAAGGCAATAGACAACGGTTAAAAGAACCAGTTTGGCGTATTTTTTTTTAAATTCATAATCAGTTTCGATGATGTTATTTCAAATTTTGAATTTTTTATTTGTTCTGAAAAAATGACAAACAATATCATATTTGTTGCTTTTGCAAAATAGAGATAAAGAAAGAGATTTAAAAAACATGGTTTAAGACTACAATCGGCATAAACTTTTTAGTGATTAATTCTAAAAACAATTTAACATGGCTTACGTTTGTATAATTTGTTATTCATTGTTATTAACGCTAATCGCGATTGACTACGGGAATTCCAAAATGCCTTTTTTGTGTGTCAATTACAAAGCTCGTATGTATTCGTCTCTTTGTAAACAGAGGCAACCGACACTGATTTTATATAAGCATGATGCAATGAGAGTCGTGATGGTCAGTGCTGAGAGTGACCGGTTCGAGAACGGTTTAACATTTGTTTTTTGTTTAGCTCTTAATAGAAGAAATGGCAACAATGAAGTGGTTTATGTGCATCGTAATTTTGGCTATTGGTATTAATGCCAAACAGAACAGAGAATTTCGTGAACGTGCTTCAATATATTCTAGTTAGTAGAATCTCAAGTAATTTGCATGTATTAAAAAATTTATTCATTCGTGTCGTGTCTATTTTTTTATTTTGCAATAAAATTCATCAAAATAAACTCATTCCCAAGCATCGTTTGCGTGTGTGGACAAATGGCGTTAGGGCTGTTAGATTTTGTTTCTATCTTATAATTTTTTCTGGCCGATGTCATGATTTGAAATTTGTGTGTTATCTCACTTTAAAAACTCAAATTATGGATGGGGAAATATTTGAGTCAGCACCTTCTACACAACCAATCAAGATACGACGCCAATAATGAAGGAGATTTCTTCTATATTTATCTTGTGCACCGGTCTTGAAAAAAACTATTTGATTGGGAAACCTGTTTTTCGAAAATCGAAAACGTCACAACTCATAACAATTAAAATTTATTTAAACTTGAAAAATACCATACAAACAACACCAACAGGATAGGATCAATAGATAATATTTTTAATTAACAACATTTGTTTTCATTTAATAATAACGTATTTGTGGTGGTTATTGGTTGGATAATCCAGACTCTATGTCACGAACTATTATTATATTGTGAATCGTATATGTTGCATTCAATATCTTCTCTTGTTTGGTGCGGTAGTTATCGTTAATCCGTTATTCAAGGATTGTTTTGTCTATACAATTTGCAGATATTTTGGATTGAGTTAACCATGTTGTAAAAAAGTGAAATTGGCGAAAAAGTTCAATTTTATTATTTTTAATGCAAAACATTTCTTATCATGTATTTTTTTTCATTTTCTATATTTTCATAGGGCTCACCGAATGTGACTATTACAAAACTGACGATTACAATTACACACATTTTGTTGAACTTAGCGCAGACATTAAAGTTCCGGAATCGATTGATAATTGTACACGAGTTTCAGTATACTTGATTGGACCGCGAGATGCTCACATAATTTTATCATCGACTAACAAACCAAACCGTGATAAAGATTTTGTTTACGAATTTTGTAAGTCTTTTTAAGGTCGAAATTCTTGCTTTCTTTAACCTTTGGCTAGATTTCTAAATGAAACACCATTTTTTTTTGTTAATCAACTCACGAATTTTTATTATCTGTGAATTTGTGATTTTTTCGTCAGTTTAGGTTAAAAGTGCGAAAAGTCCGAATCCATTAAAAAAACTGAAATTTATAACACTTAAATATATTTTCAGTATTCGGTGGCTATGATAATAAACGTATTATAATCCGAAAGCGCATACAACGCTACACGTTAAAAGAGCTCAGTTTTTCAGAAGTTATACCGGTGTTACGTCCATTGAAAGTGATGATTGAAATTTCAAACAGTAGGTGACACTTTGCCACATTTTCTGACAGTTTTTGTCGATTCTTTAGTTTTTAATTATTGCAAATATATATGTTTTTATAGATGGTCATATCAAGGTTTACATAGAAAATAAACCAGAACCAGTAATTGAAGCTTTCGATCCATTCGTTTTGCCAGTTAAATACATAAGTTTTGCGAGTTATCAAGGCGCTTCAAACGAATTTTTGTACAACTGCATCTCAGATAAAACCACCATTGACACTAGTAACCAAAAACCAGTCGCAGTCACAACAACGTCTACTAATTTGGCTTTAGTTTCGCTAGATAGTAAGAATATATCTCTATCTATTTTTTCAAACATCTAATGTAAACTCATTTAAAATATCCATTTAAGCTTTGGTTGAAAAATGTCAAACGGAAGAAACCTGGGAATTGGAATATAATAAATTCCATGAATTGAAGAGCTTCAAAAATAGCCAAGCTGAAGGATATTTGTTCAAATTGAATTTCTTTGTTTACGGCGAAAAGGAAGTGAATGTTTTGCTTTCGAACAGTGAAAATCCAAACATTGAAAAAGAAGCGGCCTATAAAATTGGTAAGTTCATTTTTTCTTGATAAATGATATTCAAGTTTTAATGAGTATCTATTGCAGTAATTGGCGGATATGGGGCACAGCAAGTTATTCGCAAAACAGTTGAAGGTGATGACCTATTCGAAAAGATTCAACTGAAGGATTTAATATCGGAAGAAACACAAACCCGTGTTTTAATTCAAATGACCAAAGGTGTGTTATTTTTTTTCTTTATTCATTTAGTATATGACAACAGTCTCATTATAAGTTTCCTAAAATTTCATATTTTTACAGTAAAATCGCTCCAATTTTCATATCTTATTTCTTTTTATCTACAATCTACATAGTGAAGTGAATAAAATAGATTAAAAATAATTGGAGCTTATATGAAAATACAGATGAAAATATCTCAATACATTTTCTGAATTCGATATAAATTTTAGATGGCCAAATAGAGGTATTCGTAGGCGAATTTCAGTATAAACCAGTTGTAAAAGCCCACGATAAGCATCCGGTCGATGTTAAATATGTAAGCTTTGCGTCAAATGATGGTGCACGTGTGCTATATTTTTATAATTGTGATGATGAAAAGGCATCCGCATCACTTTCACCACCGCCTGCACCGCATGCTTTGTTGATCACCGACCCAATTGAAAATGAAGATATTTTGGCGAAGAAATGTAAACATACATCTTATTTTTCTATTAATTCCATTACTGAAGAAATGCTATCCATTCTTTCGATTATTTTTCCATTATTTACCCTAGGTAAACATACATATGCATGGGAGGATGTTTACACAACCGCAATAAAATTGGACTCAATTAAAAATAGCCTGGCTGATGGATTTCGTTTTCAGTTGTCATTGTTTGTAAAAGGTGTTCGTGACGCTCAAATTCTTCTCACAACTGGCAACAGTTTAGATCCAAAGGATGGATATGAAATAGGTGGATTTTTATTTTTATTTTTGCCATTTTAATGTTGTGAGGAAAATGCAGAATTGAATTGAAAATCAAAAACCATACACAAAATGAGTTCTGAATTCTTTTCTGCAGAAAAATAAGACTTTTTTTCAATTTTTTAAAATATTTCTTTTTTTATATACACACACACACATAGTTATCGGTGGTTGGAGTGATTCGAAACACTTGATTCGGAAAAATGGTGATGTTGTGGCTAAAGTTAATGAATTTAATGTATTGAATGAATTAAAACCGATTAAAGTAGTCGTGGAGTTAACCACAGATGGTGTCATGCGAGTCTGGACAGAAGCAAATAAATGGAAGCCATTACTTGAATTCAAAGATACAAAACCGATTGACGATTTATCCACATTAAGTTTTAAGGCTTACTATCGCGATCTTGATTTTTACTATGGATGCACCGCATAGGCCGGTTTGATTTATTTTCCCGTATGACTGCTGAAAAAACGATTGTAAACATTTTTTTTATCATATTGAAAAACATAAAAAAATTTAAGAAATATATTACACCTTCCATTGGGTATAGATTGCCTGAAGAAGTTTTGAATATATTTCGAACTTTCGATAAAAATAAACAAATTTTAATCGGTTTTAGTAAAACGCAAATATGAAACATTTCAAAATTGCTCTTGACATTTTTAACACATATATTGTCAATTTCTTATTTGGTATTTATCCCACAAAGAATTGAATGTTCATGGAATTAATACAGACAAATCTATGAATTTTCTTACATAATAAAAAGTTTGAAATACCATGTTGTTATCTTCATAATTGTGACTTATAATAAAACATTATCTTTTTTTTCTGCTCCCCTATCTCTTTCTTTATAAAAAGCATGCAATTATAGCTGGAAATGAAGCAAAAAAAATAGATGATGCTTTTCAAATGCTTTGGCTATTTGATACCGTCATGACATTTTTGGTGTCATTCGGTTTCAATTTCATCGTTTCAACGCTTTTCATTTTATTTTTTTATTCACCTTATCTGTTTTGTATTCAATGATAACGTTCCAAAAAGAGAAAAAAATGTGTTTTTTACTACGGAAACGCAAAAATTGCCAACAATCCTGTATAACTGTGTATTTTATATACAGAAGATGCGTGCGCTGTTTATATCAATTATATGCAAATTTTGTGATAATAAAAAAGATGTATCATCGACAACAAGCACAAACGAGCGGAAAGAATACGTTGGAAATTCATTTGCATATCGAAAAAGTCCGTATGAAATCGTCGTGTTCGTAATGGATCGAAAAAATATATGGGAAGATATACTTTTCTATGAGGAAAATATATACAAGGAGAAAATAATACTTAAACATTTCATTTGGCAACGCTTAACAACATATCAAGATGATTTTTCAACTATTTCAAACTATTACTACCAGATTCGGTTCGCAGTGGGCATCCAGTTTTCGGTTGCAAGCCTTGCAAGATTCTATTTTGTTCAAGAACCTTGCAACCGAACGATGGATAGTGTCTCTCATTACGGCAAAGATATTTGGAGGCGATTTATGCAGATTTAAGAATAAATATACTAAGAAATAATGTTGTTGTTGTGTAGAAAACAATGTTCCTTTCCTTTTATTTTTTATTTTTGTATTCTTCCCTTTACGTGGCTCAATATGTCATATAGATGCTTAAATGCTGCGGAATATATTTGTTCATAGAACGAATGTATGAGAGACCCCGTATATGATGTACAGAGATACATGCATATCTAATTATATATGCAAAGTCAATTTATTATTTATAGAAAACACCCGCGTACAAAATGCTGTGGCCAAAGCGCAACCGTTTGTTGAACACAAATCGATAGCGTTTGCGTGTATTGCACGTGGCCGAATACATTTAGTAGCTCAACTACAATAAAATGAACAAAAAGACATCATTATCATAAGAGAGAACGAAAGAGATTTGTCAGTGCAAATAAAATTAAGCATTCTTAACGTATGAAACATATGCGACCATATGTGTGAGTATTTGATAACGTTCTATATATCGAATATTTGTAAATCAGTTGTGGTAAATGTCGAAAACGAGGCGACTTTTTTTTTATTACAAATTAGTGTGAAATACGGTCCAAACCGTTTTCATACATATAGAGGGAAAAGAATGATACATTTTTTTATCTTTTATCTTATGCATAAATTTCACATTTTTGGCGTACAAATGGCATACTAAGAATTTCTTAGCAAGAAAATGTAAAAACTTTTCCACCCGATACACAAGGTTTGTTTTTAAATGTATAAGCGAATGAGCAATTGAGCATGAGCATACACGTATTTAAAATGTGTTTGAAATGCATATCTAACATGGAAAAAGGGAAAGACAACCATTAATATCAGTTGAACTGGGTATAAAATACTTTTTTTAAATTAAAAACTTTACTCACCTACGGGCACTCCCCCTCCGTACAATGTTGTACTATTGTACAACTAGACCACAAGACTTTATATAGTCTGTTCATGTCTAGCTACGCTAACTATAATAGTTAAAATATTTTATTTTATGTAATTTTTTGAATGTATGATTAATTGATGATGTTTGTTAGTTGACATTGTTGTTGTAGTCCGGCGGTCTTAACAATGAAACTGGCAATGGTACATCAAAGATCCGGCAAAGTCCTATGTAATTTAAAGCAAATACATTAAATAATGAATATTCTGTTTCCAATTGATTCATACCTTTGAGCATAATGCATTTTGCTGCAACAATATCTCGGTGCCAAGTAACTGTTTGTGGAACAACATCATCATCATCAACATTTAATGGCCAATTTTTGTAGGTAACTTTAACCTTTGACATTAAACGCCCAGTCCGAATTTTTTCGTTCACAGCCTCACGATTGCCATCGATAATTTGTCGCTTAATAATTGCACGTTTTCTTCTCAAAACACGTCTGTTGACCGTTGACACAATGATATCTGGCAGTCCAGCGACTGAATCTGGCAGGCCATCAATCTTTTTCGCTCTACAATCGTAGCACACTTTAAATCGATCATCTTTTGTGTGCCTTGGAAAACGTTCCTGACAATTCGCGCATGTTTGTGATGTTCCCCATTCATCTTGCATTTCAACTTCTGAATGTCCAAGTTTCTTAATGCTCACACGAAACTTACGCGATCCCGGACATCTTTTACGCTTTTTTATTCCAAACGGTCGATCGGGTTTCATCGCCCAAGCACCAAATTGAACCAACGACGGTTTGTTGTTTGTCACACGCACGGCGATTTGATCATTTACTCTGGTCGAGCGAATGTGATGGTCTAAATCCAGTCGTGCATATTCACGCGTCGCATAAGCTGCCATTCCTTTTCGTAACATTTTAATGCGATATTCAATGTATGATTTCCATGTTGAATTACGTGGTGATGGTGGACGATATGGGTAGGTTTTGAGATGTTCCTTCTCTTCGATATCAAACCATCCAGCCAACTTTTTCGCTTCTTTGTCTCGTTTTTTCTGCTGAGTTTCCCAATGAAAACGCTGGTTTGGTATTATAATGTTTTCCTTCAAAATGCAAAATGATACAAAAAACTATGAGTTTCTATTCAAAACCATTTCAAATTACATTTCAAAATATCTTACCTCAACAGCCGGCTCATCAGGTGTTTTTTGAATGTTGCGACGCACTACAGTTAACCACGATTTTTCATTCGGATCGATTCCAATGATGTATTTCTTGCCAATGAGTTTTTCCGGCCCCCGATTCGCTTGGGTTGTTTGCTGTGGTCGTTGTTGTCGCTGTGGTCGTTGTTGTCGCTGTGGTTTCTTGTACATTATGGATATTGAAACACTATCGGTCAAAATCTGATGATGGAATGGTTTCGATTTGCCCAATTTATTTATTTTACCGACATCGAACAACATATTCCATAGACCTGATCGATCAGTTTGGGTGTAGTACTTTAAATTTCTCTTATTCATCCGGTTGGTCTGCGTATTGAGAAAAGAAGGCACCAAATCAAGTTCGTTTACAATTTTATTATACAAGTCCGTAATGTCCAATCGCACGTTTTTCAAATGGTAGTCGCATAATGGTATAAGAGCAAAACTGCTTATTTTTGGTGGTCGATTGATTGTTGGCTCTTGAAAGTTCGGATTGTTGCGAAACATTTCATGAATGGTATACCATTGTTCGGCATGACTGTGATACACTTCTATTTGCCGTTGCATTTGACCGAACAACCACAGTGATTCAAACCAACGATATTTTGCGAAAAATTTCATACTCACTGTTCCCGACCATCCAATTTCAGTCAAATCTCTCATTAAAATATTGAATTTTTCAACGCGTTGTGGATCCACATTATTACCATTTGTTAAATTCTTAAATCGATATGAAAACTCTTTGGCATTTCTGATGTCGATGTTATCAAATCTTGAGCCATTGTGGAATCGATTGCGATACCAACAACGCATTCGAAAAAAATTCTCAAGTCGTTTTTCACACCATGTGTTGGTATTGGTTTGAATGTTTGTGATATATTGTTTATAAAAATATCTCAAACCATTTCCCAACTTTTCATCATCTGGCCATCGGAACTGTTCTTCACTGTTTCTTTCTACCATGAAACGAAACTCGGGCAATATCCGATATTGACTATTGATATTGTTAACGTGTTGGTTTAATACCGCTCTGAAACAATCGGCAATGAACAGGCTTGGATGTGGTTTCAAAAAAAATGCACGATCGTCATTATCAAGTGCTTCATTCAAAATAAAAAGAATAGAAAGTGATGCCAATGCTGCCACTTCTGTCATTTGAACACTGCGCTCGAATAGCATTTTGGTCACAACTTCTCCAACTCTTTCAATCCGTTCATGTTGTTGTCGCAGGATTGTTTGAAGTCCACATTTTATTACAACGTATTTGCTTTCTTCTGGTTGATTATCATCGAGCTCGCCGTCATCCATGTCTTTTTCTGTTCATTCTCAAAAAACTGATCAAATTATTCGAAAATAAAAAATAGACACAAATTTAGAAAAAAAAATGCAACAAAAAAAGCATAGATTACGAATAAAATGAGATCACAATTTAAATGACAATCACTTATATCACAATTCAAATTAATCACTTCTTACCTCAACGATGTCACTCTGTATTCTGATTCAAATGATGAAATGTTTTCCAATATTCCGCAGATGAAAATTTTGTTGGAATATTCACCGTCAATTTTATGAATGCTTTCTTATTTTGAAATAACAACAGAGACAATCTCAAAACCAACAGTGAATTTATCCGTTTAACATCGAACAAACAAAATCATTGGAACAATTGTTAGCCAAAAATGACGACAAACAAAATGTTTCATACTCTAATATAAACACTCACACATAATTCTCAAGAATTCCTTTTACAAGCAAAGCACAATTTGTTACAAACAAAAAATGAGAACACACTCATATCACAATTCAAATCAATAACTTCTTATACTATATAACGCTGTGTCCTGATTAAAACGATGAAAATGTTTTTTTTTATTTTGAAATGAAAACAAAGACTGTCACAAAACGGACTGTGAATCTTTCCATTTGACATCGAGTGACTTCTACAGTTACGTTCCAAACACACCAAACCGTTGCTAAAATGACGATAAA